AACACCTGTTCAACACCTGCTGTGCACACATGAAGCACACACACGGTGTGTGACGCTCCGATTCGCACCTGAGGGGGAAAAGAATAAGCTCAATGACGTAAAACACAGTTTGGAGTCACAGAATCCCTGCATGGCTTATAAACACTCAACGAAAGACAACTAAACTAAAAAATATCTAGTCTGAAAGGCACGCACTGTCATATATGGGTTAGGCTTGGGCGGTAATACGGTAATATCGTATACCGCGGGATCTAAAAATAGCAACGGTATCAGTTTCAATATCGTCATACCGTCATAAAAAAAAAAGAGAAAAGGATTAAATATTAAATATAATTTATTTAATGGCTAAAAATGCTTATGTGTGGTTGTCATCACGTGACAGTGTGGAGGAGAAAGAGTGGGGGAGAGAGGGGGAAAGATGGCAAGTTGCGCAACGAGTGACCTGGTCTCGAAGAAGAACACGACTTCTGCAGTTTGGCAGGGATGGGCATTTCAAGCAAAAATAATATTTGAAGATCGCCTGGTGTTATTTAATTATTATTCGAAAATAGCACCCCTCCACCAAATGCACGCACACATGCATGTAGGCTACACAGCTATACAGCGGAGCGGTGTGACACTTAAATAGGCTATAAGTAAAAAAAAAAAAAAAAAAAAACCTAATTTCTTTTCATATTTATGTTTAATAATATATATATATATATATTTTTTTTTTTCATCTATGTTGATTATATGAAAAGGAAACTGCATGAGATGAATAAGATAGGATCATAAGATGCCCAATATCGGAAAACATTTGGAATGGGTCAGACATGATTTTTGACCACTTATTACGTTTTGTTTTGTAGAAAGCCTTTCTTTAAAGTGAATTTCGTTTTGTATAAATTGTATCTTCATTTTAATCAATGTTTCATCAACGAATTGCCTGGATTAAGAAATAAGAAGGATATATATTAGACAATATAAGCCGGCGCGTGAACTGGAGCGCGTCTCCTAAAATAAACGAAACTCAGCGTATAATATAGATGCCTTAAATATCTGAGAAGTGTATATATATAGAAAGCTTGAAATGTCTACTTTTAAACAAAACAATTAAAAACTAAAAGAAATGGCCTGCTCTCTGTAGGCTTATTCATATGAAGTGTGCATTTCTCTCTATGCGCGTTCACTACTGCGAAGATGCGAGTCTGCATCGTAAACTTGATCTGTGCAGCCACTGACATAGAAAGTTTTTTATTAATAAACAATTCAAATGTTTCATGCATAATAATAGCTTTTGCCGGTTCTTTGTGGCAAGCTTTATGTGTGCTTTGAGATGCAGAATAGGCAATATATTACGAAAACGCTCATTATGGTTTTGCATTCTCTCCTATATATATTTAAGTAATTTAATAAAAAAATATGTGATTAGACTAATGGCTTAAATTAACTACTACTAGTCAACTAGAAAAAAAATTGTTTAAGTCATGCACGGGCAGCCCTACTTCACATGTTTTCTAACCAGCATGTCACTGCGGGCATTCTGAGCGCGCGACGCTGAGTGGACTGAGCACGCGGCGCGTGATCTTCAGAAATGCGCTCTCTGCTCTGGAGGAAATATTACCACTCCGCTCACATGCTCTGGTGTGAGACAATGTGCATCTTCTCCTGTTGTCTGAGAGTTGATTGACAGCTTTTAGATGCATTATTGGCATCGCCACCCTCTGGTTGAACGTGTCACCACCGCATCAGAACGGAAAACATGGGGATTTTTTATAGACAATAATCCCACGACCTATTCCATATTCTATAATAAAATCAAATAATTGAATATTCGAAAATTGTGACTCATCCCTGCACAAACCAACAGTTTGGTGATGCCTTCTGAGCCTTATGTCATAATTTTTAATTAGTCACGCGGTAATACTGTATACCGCGGTAAAATAGGGAGGAGGTTTGACGGTATCAAAATTTGGATACCGCCCAAGCCTAATATGGGTTTCATTATCAATCTCAAACTGAATATTCTGAAGAATCTGGATACACCAACATGTATGGGTAAATCAGTAGCTAAACTCGAGAGCACGTAGATGTGAATTTGAGAACTTGTACAATAAATATTCATACTTGTATGTGAACATTTACACTCACAGCTCCGATGTGAAAACCTGTAAAATAAAAATCTGAAGTTGAACGCTGAGATTGGCACTCGCAGACAATAGTCACAAACCTGTATTCTGAATCTGAAGCTGCAGACAAGCAGTCACAAATGTGTAAAATGCCATTCACAGAAATACAACGACAGACACAAACATGTAATACAGATTTGCACTTCTTCTAACATTCACATTCGCAGTAAACCCTCAAATTGGCACTTGCAACGTCTCAAATCTGTCACTGCAAATTCAAATTTCGCAACTTGACTTTTGCTACTCTTTTCGCGATATATGAGGTGCAAAACTGATTTGCGCACTTGTAACTCGGTGGCGGTGAGAGCGGAAGGGGGGCGGGGGTGTTCGAAGGAGCCGTCTTATTGGTTGGCGCCTAGCCAATGAAATGGGACTTCTATTGTACGCGATGATGTCACGAAACCCGCCTCCTCGTGGATGCTCTGAAACGCTAACATGGCTTAATGCATTAGACTGATTTAAAAGATATTATCAAACTTAGTGATATTAACACCATACTAATAATGCATACTACAGAAAAGCAGATGAGCACAGAACATGACGAAAGAAAGCAAATTTGTGTTCGTGCAAATAAACCAGCTGCCTGTGTTTTATTAATAATGTATAACGAATTTTTAAAATATTTTTTATATATAACTGTTGGTCCATTAAGCCTCATTAGGCGTTTTCTTGGTTTTCTATGAGAAGAAATGCTTAACGTACAATTAAACGAGTTGCGTTCATTTTCTGCTCAATTGCTTTTCTGTATGCTTTATTTATGGTGTTTCCTGAGTTTGGTCTTTTAATACCACTGTCTTAAGTTAACGTGTTGCGTTCATATTCTGTGCTCATCCGCTTTTCTGTAGTATGCATTATTGTGTTTACTAAGTTTGATAATATCATTTATGTCTTTTAAATCAGTCTAATGCATTAAGCCATGTTAGTGGTTCAGAACATCCAGGAGGAGGCGGGTTTCGTGACATCATCGCGTACAATAGAAGTCGCGAAAAGAGTAGCAAAAGTCAAGTTGCGAAATTTGAATTTGCAGTGACAGATTTGAGAAGTTGCAAGTGCCAATTTGAGAGTTTACTGCGAATGTGAATGTTAGAAGAAGTGCAAATCTGTATTACATGTTTGTGTCTGTCGTTGTATTTCTGTGAATGGCATTTTACACATTTGTGACTGCTTGTCTGCAGCTTCAGTTTCAGAATACAGGTTTGTGACTATTGTCTGCGAGTGCAAATCTCAGCGTTCAACTTCAGATTTTTATTTTACAGGTTTTCACATCGGAGCTGTGAGTGTAAATGTTCACATACAAGTATGAATATTTATTGTACAAGTTCTCAAATTCACATCTATGTGCTCTCGAGTTTAGCTACTGATTTACCCAAACATGCGTCATCATGCCTAGATATTTATGAAGACAATAATAATAATGCATGATGAAACATGAAACAAAATCTCACGTACGTTCTTCTTTAACTCAACTGTTCTCGGGGAAAACACGGCTCTCAGAGGCATGCAGGTTTTTTCCAGCAGATTCTTTAGGTTTCAGCTCCATTCATCTCTCATTATCTGTACAGTCTCAAAACCCGCAGCTCATATTGCATCAAATCCTGCGCTCGCAGTCTTCCTTCTGAAAACACCTGCCATTCAACCTGCAGACGCTGACCTTTCTCACACCATCATCATCATCACACACCGAGCCGAGGAGCACAACCGCTTTCAACAACACACTCAAACATGAACTGAATACAAACAATTGTTTTATAACACTACTAGATTTCATATTCAAATTACAAATACATATCTTTAAAGATCTCAGAAATCTCCACTTGAGCAGCTCTAACAAACACCAAACTTTAGTTTTATTCATATTTTTCACTCATATTATTCACTGGAGGTATTTTACAGAGGAATTTGTTCATTTAGGTGACCATTTGCCTGATTATATACTTTATGCATTTTATTCCCAAAAACATGAGGTCATTTTTGGGGACATTTTCCTGGGTTTTGACAGTATGTTCTGATTTAAGGAATATATGAAGATGTCCAAAATCTCCTCTGTAAACTCCTTTAAAGGTCTAACCTAAAGACTCTGTTTCAACACCGCACTCAAATATGAACTGAAAATATACAACATCAGAAACACAAAATATCATACATAACAATTGTCATACAGGAGAACAACTGACAATTATTATATACTACTATAACATACTATTTCGAGTATGTAATTATAATTGACATAACTTGTAATTATAATTTAGTTTAGCTTGCACTTCTATGGCGTTAGTTTAGTAGAAGCAAAAACATATAAACCGCATGAATATCTTAAGAATTGTCTTAAGAATTTTTAGTAACACTATTTTACTTTTTTTTCTGCTCTCTGTTATTGTATGTTTTCTTTAATTGCAACAAAACAATTTTTAAAAAACTATTTTACAGTGTCCCGGTTACACGTACATGTAGTTACTGTAGCAATAACTATAAATTATGCATAATTACATGCAACTAACCCTAAAACAAACCCCAATCCTAACCCTAGTAAGTACATGTAGTTAATTATTATTCCTCGGTACTATAATGCATAATTACACTGTAACAGGGACACATTAAAATAAAGTGTAACCGACTTTTTAAAATCACTTGCATTATGACTGTCACTTGCATAAAGTTTGTATCACATTTTGCAACATCTATCTCCTTAACCCTTCACGCATATACACACATGAGGAGCTCTGCCAGAGAGAAGCTCATATATATCGCTAATAATTCAAGTTTGTAACGTTTCCCCAAATGCACGTCGAACGGAAGCCCGTTTGTCTGAAGTAGTTTCGCAGTTATTTTTACCTGTTGTTGTGTGAAGCGTTCACGTCCACCGCAGCAGAAGTCGCTCCATGTTCAGCAGAGCTCGGACTCTTTAAACAGCTCCTCATCCACTCCTGAGCACCATTATTATCACCCAGATGAGTGCTGGTTCTGTCGCCGAGGCTGTGCTGCAGTAAAGCGGACTGGACCGAGCCGCTCTCGCACTTATCCAGATCCACACTCCTCACCTTGCGCCTCCACTGGGAGCTCTCGCCCGCGCTCCTCTTCACCTTCCCGCTGCTGGTCGACACACTGCTCCCGCTGGAGCCACTGGGACTGTCCTGGGCTCCGGTCCCGGTGCCTGAGCCGCTACTGGGGTCCAATAATCCGCCTAACGACGACGTCCGGCTCCCCGCCGTCGCCATTTTCTGTCCTGAATATTTGCACTTAATAGATTCTATGTGAGAGGGAGTGGCGGGAATTTGGGGGAGGATGAGAGGGAGGGGCTTCCGGAGAGATGGGAGGAGTCGTGTACAATGTGGGAGGGGCCAAGGGACCTCTTTTGGGAACCTACGTGCATGGTGTCATACAACTTCAAGCGGCCTTGTAATAATAATTTGAATTTTTTTGTGTAGGCCAATATGCTTTGCTTTCTTTATCATTTATGTAATTTTAAAATTTTTACTATGTAGGCCCACTTTTATTTTTAATACCTAGGTATTAATAAAAAAATAATAAAAAAATATTAATTTGAATTTTCTTGACCTTTAAAGATGAAAGTTGAAAACTACACTGACTTTTTTTTACTTCCAAAAAATTTCACTCAGATATTGCTAGTAATTTTTACCAATAATTACAAAGAAATGGCAAGTAACACATTAAATTAAACACTTTTTAAGTTGAAAGACTAAATTTGTATTTTCTTGTAAAACGTTACAAATAAAGTTTTTTTATTGGCATTGATGGTTCCATGAAGAACCTTTAACCATTTAGAGGTCCTTGGGATCAGGCTGACCGCATTTGAATTTTCCTTCTTTAAAAAACACGTTTCCTTCATCTCATAGCATGAGGTCTGGGTTGGATTTGGTTGATCGGAAGGCGCCACATCAAAATGACCCCACATTTAAAATGAATGGGAAAGATGAAAAAAAATAGTTTTTTATTTTTCATTTGTCAGAAAAAAAACAAAAATAAAGCCAGCATAAATCTGAAAATATCCACATAGAAATAAAGGCCTGGTACTAGAGCATAAATGCAACGTGGAAAGAACATGTTCATTCACACACACACACTCTCTCTCTCACTCTTCACTCCTGTTATCGGCTTATTGCTGAATTTTTTTTGTGTTTGTTTTGCTGATTGTTGGTCTTATTTACTTTTTTATTATTAATTTCTAAAGGTAATGTTTTTTGGGGTTTTTTTTTTACATTTGAATTATTTAAATAAATAATGTGATTACAATCAAGTCTTGTCTTTTACTGGCAACTTATGTGGCATTTCTGCAAATTTATGTGGCATTATTGCAAAAACAGACACTTTAAAGGACCTCAAACAACAACAATAACTAATTCTAAGCGTTGAAAAAATACTGATTGTAATGTATTTTAAATATATATTCACAAAATACATTACAGAAGTTGTGAGAGGAGCAGTTGGCCACATCCAGACGAATGAACGGATCTCTATGAGCCTCTGCTGGATATGTGTGGTCATGTGTTCTCCGACTGCAGGGTTTCCTCTTCTGCCCCGGGATCAATATCCACAAATAACTCATATTTGCATGTCATTCGATTTGACACTTTCTCCAAACTCAGGTCACTGTTCTCAAAACAGTTAACGACACATAACCTGAACACTTGTAATTGTCACAGGTTGTAAATTGCCGTCCATTTCATGCAAATTACAAATCACATGCATCATTTTCTCAAAACACTGCACAACATTCTCAAATGTTTTCACAGTAGTTCATACAACCAGCCAAAACTTTAATATATCAGGAAAAACAATTGCAGCTTTTTTTTTTATAGGTTTCACAAGAATCACAATCATTTGTGCACCATTTTTCCAAACACAATAGACAAAACTCTGTTATTTGTTAAACTCTCAGTTGCACTTGACTGTCCTCAATTAGCCCCACATTTCCCAATTGTTCACACAGCTATCGCAGTTACAAAAACTATAAAAGAGGAAAATAAATAAAGGAAGAAGAATGGGAAATGAAGAAATGTAAGAGTAAGATATTTTGGAGGGAATAGAGGAAGGGTGATATTGAGAGAGAGGAACCGTGGAAGAGAAAGAGATGAGGGGAAAGGGGCAGATGGTGTAGAAGAGGAGAAGAGAAAGAGGAAAAGAGGGGAAGTAGAGGGTGTAGAAAGAGGAGAAGAGGGGAAGTAGAGGGTGTAGAAAGAGGAGAAGAGGGGAAGTAGAGGGAGAATAGAGGGGCAGGGACAGGAGAGGTAAGGATAGGGTACAAGCGGGTGTCAGATGTCATTAATGATGGTCTTTCCTTGAGAGAAGCTCAGCCCAATATAAACATCGGGTCACAGTCAATGTCCATGTTTATCAGGGTGATTAGGAGCACATTGAGCAAAATTGTGTAGTTGTTTGGGACACTGTCCGATTTCACCCTTCAGCACTGGTGCATCACTCACATTTCAGGACGCTGTTCCTTCCAGCATATTCTCCTCTTGGAGATGGAAAGTACATGATCACAACCAAGTAAGTCTTCTTCAAGGGATGGAAGAGGCCTGCGGAGAAGTTGAGGCACACAATGAGAGTCAAGATCTATAAAGTTCATTGATTCAATGATTGCAGTGCATTTATTTAATTACTTATTTCATTTTATTTTAGGGGAAACCTCATCGCTAAACAACTGAACTCGTCATTACAGAACTTTGAAGAACACGATTAAAGAACACGAAAAACATGTATTTTCATTCATGTATTATTACAGCTGAAATTGTTGTTAAATCAACAGAGAGCACACTTGTAGTTTTGATGTTAGTATTTATTTTTGATAAACGCATTACTAGAATAAAATGCAGTGTTTCATTAATATGCAGTAAGTGAATACTGAACTGTTTTGATAAGAGTGTGTTTAGTTTGCTGCACTAATTGTTTTGAGAGCAACTGCATTCATTTGGAGAAATATGTCAAGTCGATTGAGAAAAACTGTTATTTTAAAACAACATTAAAGTGCTTTATGCATAAAAATTCTATATTTCATAAGCAAACTAATGGTCTAGTTGAGTAATTTTGCGGTAAATAGGTTATAAAATGAAATAAAAACACACAGCACAAACATATAGTTAAGAAGTAAATACAAAATTTGATATTTTAGTTGTATTAAATTTGATATTTTTTATACAATCGCTCTGTAAAAGTTTAAATGACCCCAAAGACCCTAAGTGTGAACTGCATATGAGGACCGCTATTAACGTTCATGCAACCTTTCCACTCAAAGCTTCTTATAGAGGAAAAGGGTTCTTACGATTTTAAGAATGTTCTTCACACTGAGGAAAAAAATGGTTATTTCACGAGTTTACACTTACTTACGGTGGAGCAGGGGAACACCACAGCAGAGCAGAATGGACTGAAGAGCCCCCCGGCGGAGCAGGGGAACACCACAGCAGAGCAGACGGGACTGAAGAGCCCCCCGGCGGAGCAGAGGAACACCACAGCAGAGCAGAATGGACTGAAGAGCCCCCCGGCGGAGCAGGGGAACACCACAGCAGAGAAGACGGGACTGAAGAGCCCCCCGGCGGAGCAGGGGAACACCACAGCAGAGTAAACGGGACTGAAGAGCCCCCCGGCGGAGCAGGGGAACACCACAGCAGAGCAGACGGGACTGAAGAGCCCCCCGGCGGAGCAGAGGAACACCACAGCAGAGCAGAATGGACTGAAGAGCCCCCCGGCGGAGCAGGGGAACACCACAGCAGAGTAAACGGGACTGAAGAGCCCCCCGGAGGAGCAGGGGAACACCACAGCAGAGTAAACGGGACTGAAGAGCCCCCCGGCAGAGCAAGGGAACACCACAGCAGAGAAGACGGGACTGAAGAGCCCCCCGGAGGAGCAGAGGAACAACACAGCAGAGCAGAATGGACTGAAGAGCCCCCCGGCGGAGCAGGGGAACACCACAGCAGAGCAGATGGGACTGAAGAGCCCCCCGGCGGAGCAGGGGAACACCACAGCAGAGTAAACGGGACTGAAGAGCCCCCCGGCAGAGCAGGGGAACACCACAGCAGAGCAGACGGGACTGAAGAGCCCCCCGGCGGAGCAGGGGAACACCACAGCAGAGCAGACGGGACTGAAGAGCCCCCCGGCGGAGCAGGGGAGCACCACAGCAGAGCAGAATGGACTAAAGAGCCCCCCGGCGGAGCAGGGGAACACCACAGCAGAGCAGACGGGACTGAAGAGCCCCCCGGCGGAGCAGGGGAACACCACAGCAGAGTAAACGGGACTGAAGAGCCCCCCGGCAGAGCAGGGGAACACCACAGCAGAGCAGACGGGACTGAAGAGCCCCCCGGCGGAGCAGGGGAACACCACAGCAGAGCAGAATGGACTGAAGAGCCCCCCGGCGGAGCAGGGGAGCACCACAGCAGAGCAGAATGGACTAAAGAGCCCCCCGGCGGAGCAGGGGAGCACCACAGCAGAGCAGAATGGACTAAAGAGCCCCCCGGCGGAGCAGAGGAACACCACAGCAGAGCAGACGGGACTGAAGAGCCCCCCGGCGGAGCAGAGGAACACCACAGCAGAGCAGAATGGACTAAAGAGCCCCCTGGCGGAGCAGAGGAACACCACAGCAGAGCAGACGGGACTGAAGAGACCCCCGGCGGAGCAGGGGAACACCACAGCAGAGTAAGCGGGACTGAAGAGCCCCCCGGCGGAGCAGGGGAACACAACAGCAGAGTAAACGGGACTGAAGAGCCCCCCGGCAGAGCAGGGGAACACCACAGCAGAGCAGACGGGACTGAAGAGCCCCCCGGCAGAGCAAGGGAACATCACAGCAGAGAAGACGGGACTGAAGAGCCCCCCGGAGGAGCAGAGGAACACCACAGCAGAGCAGAATGGACTGAAGAGCCCCCCCGGCGGAGCAGGGGAACACCACAGCAGAGCAGATGGGACTGAAGAGCCCCCCGGCGGAGCAGGGGAACACCACAGCAGAGTAAACGGGACTGAAGAGCCCCCCGGCAGAGCAGGGGAACACCACAGCAGAGCAGACGGGACTGAAGAGCCCCCCGGCGGAGCAGGGGAACACCACAGCAGAGCAGAATGGACTGAAGAGCCCCCCGGCGGAGCAGGGGAGCACCACAGCAGAGCAGAATGGACTAAAGAGCCCCCCGGCGGAGCAGGGGAACACCACAGCAGAGCAGACGGGACTGAAGAGCCCCCCGGCGAAGCAAGGGAGCACCACAGCAGAGCAGAATGGACTAAAGAGCCCCCCGGCGGAGCAGAGGAA